ACCTTAGCTGAGCTACCTACAAGGGCACCCTAAGATACTGCTAACAGACTGATTTTTTCATCTTCTTCCTTCCACTGTCTCTCTCCTAGCACACAAAATAAAGTGTGCCTGCTGTGTTCCACAAGCACTTCCTCATGGGACTCTAAGCCCTCTGCTTTCATTTCCAGCATATTCCACATTCTGGTGCCAGAGGACTCCTCCAAAATCACTTTTGCTTACGTTAGTAAGAAGCTATTAACAAAATTCTGCCACTCAAAAGAAACCATTCTTTAGCACAGTGCCTTCTACTTTCCATGTCAACTCTTTAATATCATTAGATATGACCTAAGTCATTTTACAATCTGCTTATTGCACTTAGCATGAAAATATGTATCTCTGATATTTTTAAAGACTCTTGCGCATTTTAATAATTATAAATGGACATAGCACTGATCGCTTAATCATTCTGGTACTATTGTTTATTCAAGTTGCTTGCTATTTATTACTATAACAAATAATCCTCTGAAAACACCTTTACACAAACATCTTTGAATACATTTCAGGTATTTCTTAGGAGTAGATTTTAAGAAGTAGAAGCTCTTTATTAGAATAAAGGGCTTGAACGTTTTTGGAATTTTATATATAGCTGCTGTATTACTTTTTAGAAACTATGGATTTACATTTTCATCATTAGAACTACAGATTTTCTCTTTAAATCTCTGCTCTCTGGATATATAAAATATTGCTAACAAGTTTTTTATAATAAGTTAAACTATTTCTTCAAAGCCATTAGTATTTACCCTTTTTTAAATTGCTCACATCCTTTCCCATTTATCTATTAATCTTAATGCATTTGTCTTAAAGAGCTTTAGACATTAAGAATAACCTTGTATTAAATCTGTTGCAAATAATGTCCCAACTTGTAATTGTAACTTATAATTTGATTTATATTGTTTGAAGGCAAAGAAAATTATTAAACTTTTAGTAAGTAGCCTAAAACATTTTGATTTTTTTCTTCTTGATGATTTCCATGGCCTTTTAAGCTTTAAAAAGTAACCCTCCCCACACCTTCTAATGCACTCCCTTGCCACATGCAGATCCACCAGCACAGAGTGGAACTAAGTAGTTAAAGGAGTTTAGGCACAATCTTTCATCCATCTGGCTGAATACTAACTACACTGCCCAACTGTGAATCTTAGGAAGGGAGATTTAAAAATAAAAATGAGAATTGAACAAACAAAACATTAGCAACTGTGGGGAAGTCCAACTACACAATCAGTCCGAGTAAGTCACAGAACGAATGAACATCATCGACAACAAATCCTAGGGGTGCAGAGCTCAGTATCCAGAGTTGCTAAAACAGATCTTCTAAAATGTCTCATTTTCAATTTAAAAAACTTTGAGACATGCAAAGAAACAAAGTGTGACCCCCCCATGCATACATACATAAATAAATAGGCAATCAATGGAAACTGTGTTGAGGGACTTAGATATTGGACAAAGGCTTCATTCAAAGCAGCTATTATAAGTATGTTCAAAGAACTAAAGGAAACCATGCTTAAAGAATTAAAGGAAAGTGTGAAGACAATGACTCAAATACTGTCTACATTTGACTTGAAAAACAATCAAATAGAAATTCTGAATTGAAAGGTACAATAATTGAAATGAAAAATTCACTAGTAGGGCTCAACAGAAGATTTGAGCTGGTAAATGAAAGAATCAGCAAACATGAAGAGAGATCCATAGAGATTATTGTTAGGGAAAGAAAAAATGAAGAAAATGAACAGAGCCTTAAGAGTCCTATGGGACACCATCACGCTTACCAACATATGCACAGCCAGAAGGCGAGGACAGAAACAGATAATGAATGTTCCAAGATGACGGTCATAAATTACTAAGAATTACTTTTTACTTCCCAGTGTTTTTTGGTTTGTCTTAACCATTATATAATAGCAGAAAGATACATAACTATACTCACTCAAACCTGCCTCCTCATTGTCTCTTAATTTCAAAATCTTTGTACCTCTATAGTGATCTCAAGTTGAGACTTAAGTCATTCATGTAATTTTTCCTAATGCCATCAGTCCACATTGATCATACCTCTTACAAAGTTTTCTTATCTCTCAGTAAGGTTAAAAACACCTATGCCTCATAGTTTTCTGTGAAAACAAAACTACAAAAGGGAGTACAAAATGCGTAACACTTTATCTACTGTATTTTGTTATGTGAGGTACTCTGCTCTATATTTTTATTTTTCTGTACAATGTATGAATACAAAATTCAGAAAAGCTGAAATTGATTCCTGGTTTAGTCACTACCCAGTGTGTGATCCTGAACAAACCATTTAACCTCTAGGGCTATCTGTTTTCTCCACTGTAAAATGAGACTGCTATGCCAAAAGATGATTCTCTATGATTTCTATGAATATATTTCTATAACACAACTACAACTTTGCCATGTACTGTTCACTAATACAGCTTTATACAAACAACAATTTAGATGAGATTCTGAGGTCAAGGTGTTTTCCCATCATTCTGCATAGAAGAGCTGGTGGAGGCCGGGCGCGGTGGCTCATGCCTGTAATCCTAGCACTCTGGGAGGCCAAGACGGGTGGATTGTTTGAGCTCAGGAGTTCAAGACCAGCCTGAGCAAGAGCGAGACCCCGTCTCTACTAAAAATAGAAAGAAATTAATTGGACAACTAAAAATATATAGAAAAAATTAGCTGGGCATGGTGGTGCATGCCTGTAGTCCCAGCTACTCAGGAGGCTGAGGCAGGAGGCAACACAGTGAGACTCTGTCTCAAAAAAAAAAAAAAAAAAGAAGAGCTGGTGGACACAAAGAAAAAAATCTGTATGATATATAGGCTACTCTCTGTGTATAAGGACAGTGAGAGAAGGAAAACTAAAAAAGTGCTGAATACGCTTCAATCTGAAGAGCAGTACAGAATATTTAATGCAAAGAAAAACAAACCACCAAGATTTCTAGAAAAGCATGGTTGCCTAGTTTTATAAAGTACCTAATGGAAGAAAGATTGATGGAGAAACTAACGAAATGCTGTAGGCACAACTTTAGAAGCCACTAACTCATTTCTTCTAACACAATTATCTGGACGTGAACTACAACAGAAGTAAAGTAACTCTGTCTTTGCTACATCATTGTGGATTACGACTGTTTTACTCACACATGAAGCCTTCCCCAGAAAAGCAATGTCTCACACAAAAATGCCAGGGGAAAAGGCAGCTCCAGGAGTTAAAACTTCAGTTTTCCTATTATGAGACCCATAAAAGACTTTTATTGTTTTTGTTTGTAGCCATGTACACAAAACCACACATGTACCACATTACATTCTAAAAAGCAAAGAAGTTACAATACCATGTCCTAGGAGCAAACATTCCCAGAAGGAAAAGGAATGAGACAATGCAGAGAGCTAAGAGCACAATAAAAGGCCGCCAGCACACGGAACTTTAGGTCAGCAGACGTTCCACAAGGAGTTTGATGCTCTGAGAGCTGACAGAGTCGAGGTAGAAGTCAGAGTCCAAACAGTCACATGAAGACGAGTAAAAAGCAAGCACAAAAAGGGGTGGGTAGAGGGTAAGACTCAACTAAGGATTTCTAAGAGAAGAATGTGGAGGTGACCAAATATAAAGAAAAGAAGTCAAAGAATGTTAGTGAGGTAAATTAAGCAGTATGATGCACGAAGAAACCTCTTAATGAGAAGAGGTGAAGAAATGAAATTATGAAAAAAAGAAGGCAATAAAAACAGAGGCAGGAGGTGAGAGAAAACGATCATATCCATGCACCAGAATGTAAGCTCGACAAAGTGAGAAACTTCTGCCATTTTTGTTCACTGCTATATCCCCAGTGCCTTTAACAGTGCTTGGCACAGAGTAGGCACCTGATGAATATGTGTTAGATGAGGAAGTTTTCCCCAAGACCAATTTGTTCTGCAATAAGATACTGAAGCAAATGGAAGGCAGATGCTTAAGAGAAAGCTGAATGTGTAAGACCCACAGCACAAGACTGTGGTGAATAGGTCCACGTGGTAGAGCTGATTCATACTCATATTTGTCACAATTTTAGACCATTTCTTAATGCAGGTACAGAAAATGAAACACGATGAAAGTGCTGTTGCAAAGAAACATGAATCAACTGCTATTTCACATCAAAATTTCAAAGGTCTCATGGGTTCATATTTGTATCTCCTGACTATGAAAATAAAAAAGATTGGGAGGGGTGAAAAAAAATAAAATAAATGCATATTTAAAACAGAATTCAAAATATGTACATGTTTAGAGAATTTACTCTGCCGTTATCATACCAACTAGATATATACCAGCAATTTAAAATTTTACCGAAATAAAAAATGCTACTTTCCATTTCTATAGCATATGCAATTGTTTAGGAACAAAGATTTAGGTTATACAGACTAATACCACAGAATTTTTAAGCTCACAAACTGACTGACTGTATTAAGTTTCAAAATGTAGCAAATTTCACGATCCAGAAACACCTGTCTTTAACATGCATAACATCGAGACATCCTCCTCTAATTCCATGCCATTTGATATATAATACATCAATCCTGGGAAAGTCTACATTAAGATATAAAATAAACTGGAAACTGGATTGGTCTAAAGTACTTACGGTCTACACCAAATACTAATATAATGGCACTCAATGCACACAAAAATTTTAAAGCACATTATATACCTTTCAAAATCTCATTTTTGAAACTTGTAATGGCATGAGCAGATAATCACAGCACTATGTTATGTGACAAGACCAAGGTACATTCCCACATATATGATATTAAAACAAAAACACAAAATTGCTGAAGTACATACATAGAGATTAGAAGGAAATACACCAAAGCATTAATGGTGCTCATATCTGTGTGGCAGATAATGGATGATTTTTATTTCCTTCTTTGTATTCTAGTTAATTAACCTATATTCTACATTGAATTTTAGAGACATTAAAAAAACTCATTATATATAAAAATGTTCCACAGTTACTCACCACATTATAATAGCTTTTGTTAATGGCAGTCGTATCAAATCCTTTGGGAGGACTCTTCAAAGCCCCTGATTTGGGAGACACAGGCTTTTCTGAAATAAAAATGTAATGGAGTTTTACTGATCAACACCAGGGATGACAAAATGCACGGGCCCTTCACGCAGCCCAAGGCTACTCATTAGGCAGCCACAACTCAATCTACAAACCAAAAAGAAAAGCCAGGTCTCTCTCAGGCTTGGCTCACCAAAGTCCCGCAGTCACTGCACATCCATCGCTCCCACCCCATTCTCCCAGGTACAGGTGGAAACGTCTGAGCATTTCTGCTCCATGAGTGTCAGCCAAAACCAGAACAGTTTAGTTCCACATATGCTTAATAGTGTGTAAATATAAAACATTACACAAATAGGAGAAAACATTGGCAGATATGTAACAGTATTAAAACATCAAGATACACAGTTCTAGACTAAATTTTAGGGATTTGTATCACTGAGAATGCAAAGAGCTCTAAACGTTCTGCGGATGGCTTGTGTGTGTCTATCATAGGTTCTATGGATGATGTGTGTGTGTGTGTCTATCATAGGTTCTACAGATGGTATGTGTTATGTGTCTATCGTAGGTTCTATGGATGATGTGTGTGTGTGTGTCTATCATAGGTTCTACAGATGGTATGTGTTATGTGTCTATCGTAGGTTCTATAGATGGGAGGTGGTGTCTGTGTGTCTATCACAGGTTCTATGGATGGGGTATATGTGTGTGTCTATTGTAGGTTCTATGGATGGGAGAGTGTGTCTATCACAGGTTCTATGGATGGGGTATATGTGTGTGTCTATTGTAGGTTCTATGGATGGGAGAGTGTGTCTATCATAGGTTCTACAGATGGGATGTGTGTGTGTCTCTGTCATAGGTGGTATGGATCAGCTGTGTGTGTCTACCATTGGTTCTATGAGGTGGGTAGATGGGTATGTATCTATCACTGGCTCTCCAGGGCTATATATAGGGGCATGGTGTCAAATCAAGGCTTGTGGGGACAAAGGAAAGAAAGAGGCTTCTTCCACATTTCTTCCCAGAAAACTCTGATGAGCATTTCCTAGGGGACTTGGTTCACACCAATCCCCCTCAAACCTCACCTCCTCTGCAAGAACCATGCTGTGTGAGTGAGTCATTGTTACTGAGCAGAACACATACCTTCCTCCGGTGTGTGAGCTGACAGAACCTGGGTGGCAACTGTCCACAGTCTCTCTCCTTGGCCCTCCTCTCTTCTCTCCCCATGATGCCCCCATCCACAATCTCACAGTCCCAGGGCTTCAGGCAGTACTTCCCAAAACAGTACCTCCAGCCCCAAACACTCCCGGGCTTCAGGCTCCCAACACCAACTGCCTATTCAATATCCCCAGTATGTTCTCAGCAACAGAAGCCCAAAATGCCCAAAACAAAACTCACAGTCTTTAACCTTTGATTCCCTTCTCCTATGGAGCTGTTTACATAATACATTTTCCTTTAATGCCTCACTGTGAAGTTTTCCAAATGGCTGAAAATAATGGTGTCATTGCTAGTTGAAGGAATTCTCTCTGCCCATGGGATGAAAAACAGAACTTCGTGGGAAACAAATAATTTCTAAACTATAAGATATACAAGGTGAAAAACCAATCTATTCTCGCTAACACATTTTCCTTCTCAATCTCTTATCTGTAGCTAAGAACCTCCAAGACAGGGCAAGTAGATGCAAGAAACTCATATCCCAAGAGTAGAAATAATAAGATAATCAAAGATGACAGAATCAGTTCTATGTTTAAAATGACAGGAAAGGTAAGAAATTAAGACTACAATGAATTATAAAGGCACTATGAAAATTAAAAACATCTGAAAAAGAATGAAGCAAAATTTCCAGGAATAAATAATATGGCAACTAAAATGAAAATCTCCATAGGCAGGTTAACATCAAAGGAGGAAATTCATGAACTAAAATGCAGATCTGAGAAATGAACTCAAAATTAATGTAGTAGAGCAAAGCAAAGAAACAAAAAAATACGAAAAATAGCAAAAGCCACCGAAGGCAAAGTAAGACATCTAATAGGATTTTCAGGAGAAAATAAAGGGGATGAGCAAAAGCCAACACTTTTTCTGGACAAGATACTTTCCAGAACTAAAGAAATCTTGAGTCCTTGGGCTAAAGCAGGTGCCAGTTTGGAGATTTACATAATGCCCCTCTCTCTGCCTGCCCGAGGTGAAGGATGTCAAACACTGGCAATTTCAAGTGATTCAACTACCATAAGGTTTTTTTCTGCCTCTTTTTAGAGTAACAGGAGTTTTTGTCACTCTTTTCTTCCCTCTTCTACTTGACTGAAAGTCACCTGGCCGTGGCTACCCCTCCATCTGCCATGTGTGCAAGTGACCCAACAACGCCTGGGTTAATCAACACTGCCTGCTTCATTCAGACTGGTCCTGGCCCCGAAAACAACACTCATCCTAACTCCCTCTAGCAGTGTGCTCACCAGCATCCTCGCCCCCAGGTCTCCTGAATCTCGTGCCCCTTCCTGTCAGGGTCCAACAGCCACATTGCATGTCTTCATAGTGATGATTTGCTAAGACTATATTAAACACTTGATCTTTGTCTGAAAATGTTGTAATTGTGTCATCACTGTTTTTTCCCCTAAACTTTATTATAAAAATTTATAAATATATATAAAAATAGAGAGAATAACCACCTATACACTCATACTGGGCTTCAACAGTCATCACCCTGTGGCTGGTCTTATTATATTCCTCCCCATACTCTTCTAGAAGCAATACCAGTAATTTCCAGAACCATGTCACTTTACCCATCAATACTTCAGTGTCCACCTTGCCACAGGAACTTTTTTTGTTTTGAAATCAAAACCCGAACACTAGGCCATTATCACACCTGACAACATTAATAATAATGCCTTAATGTTATCTACTGTCTAGTCTATATGCAAATCTCCTTGTCGGCCACAACAATGCCTTTTTGTAGTTGGCTTATTTGAATCAGGAATCAAAGTCTATACGGTGCATCTGGTGGTTGTGCTTCTAAGTCTCTTTCATGCTATAAAAGTGCGCCCCCCACTCCTGCCTTTTTCTGGATGCAGCAGAGAGCATGGAGGATGACTTCCTTCCCCTTACTTCATGTGCTATCCAGGCCACCGCAGAGAAGCTTCACAGTTTATGGGTAGAAACCTGGCTGGTTTTCCCACTGCTGAATTTCTTAGTTCCCACAGCAGTGGTCACTCAAGTAAATATTTATCGAGTGGATGTTGGTTGTGGTTTTAGGACCAAATGCAATTGTTAACAACCTTGACAATCAATATGAAAAATGCAGCTGATCAAAGCCAGAATGCGGAAGGGCACAGAAGAGGCTCAAGGTAAGTCTTCACGTTACAAAACAGGGCACCAGGAGATACCCACCAAATGTTACTGAAATACAAAATGAGACTGAAGTATATTATTTAGCATTGCCAATAAAGGGAACCAACAGAAAAACAAAATAATAATACAAACAACTTGGAAGAAAGAAAGAGGGAAGGAGAAGATATGGAGTCAAAAGGTATCATCTAATGCAGGAGTCCCCAACCTATGGTGAGTTGTATAATTATTTCATGATATATTGCAACATAGTAATAGTAGAAATAAAGTACACAATAAATGTAATGTGCTTGAATCATCCAGAAACCATTCCCACTCTCCCCAGTCCATGGAAAAATTATCTTCCATGAAAACGGTCGCTGGTGTCAAAAAGGTAGGGGACCACTAATCTAAAGGGTATACAGGCATACCTCAGAGACACTGCAGGTTTGATTCCGGATAGCCACAGTAAAGAGAGCTGCACACTCTTTTTGGTTTCCCACTACATATAAAAGTTATATTTACATTATACTGTAGTCTACTAAGTGTGCAATAGCATTATGTCTAAAAAAATGTACACACCTTGGAATACTTTATTGCTCAAAAAAGCTAACAATCATCTAAGTCTTCAGCGAGTCACAATCTTTTTGCAGGTGGAGGGTTTTGCCTTCCTGTTGATGGCTACAGACTGATCAGGGTGGTCGCTGGTGATGGCTGGGATGGCTGTGGCAACTTCTTATTGGGTTGGTGCAAAAGAAATTTTGATTTTAGCATTGCTGAAATTTGCCATTTGATATTAGAATACATTCTTAAATGTGGTTATGTTATACATCATTTTAATGTACATTTCTCACTTTATGTTTTTCTGATAGTGCTTATTACTTGCTGTTTATTTTAGCCTACAGAAATGATGTCAGACAAAAAGCAAATTCAAGCGATTTACTTATTTGAGTTCAAAATGGGTCATAAAGCAGCGGAGACAACTCATATCAACAACGCATTTGGCCCAGGAACTGCTAACAAACATTCAGTGCAGTAGTAATTCAAGAAGTTTTGCAAAGGAGATGAGAGCCTTGAAGATGAGGAGCACAGTGGTCAGCCACTGAAAGTTGACAACCACCAATTGAGAACAATCGCCAAAGCTGATCCTCTTACAACTACATGAAAAGTTGCCGAAGAACTCAACGCCGACCATTCTATGGTCATTAAGCTTTTGAAACAAATTGGAAAGGTGAAAAATCTTGATAAATGGGTGCCTCATAAGCTGACCGAAAATCAAAAAAATCGCCATTTTGAAGTGTCATCTTCTCTTATTGTATCCATCAATAAACCATTTCTCGATTGGATTTTGACGTGCAATGAAAAGTGGATTTTATATGACAACTAGCGATGCCCAGTTCAGTGGCTGGACCACGAAGAAGCTCCAAAGCACTTCCCAAACCCAAACCTGCACCAAAAAAATGTCACTGGTCACTGTTTCGTGGTCTGCTGCCGGTCTGATCCACTACAGCTTTCTGAATCCTGGGGAAACCATTACATCTAAAAAGTATGCTCAGCAAATCGATGAGATGCGCTGAAAACTGCAATGCCTGCAGCCGGCATTGGTCAACAGAAAGGGCCCAATTCTTCTCCACAACAGCATCCGATCATAGGTTGTACAACCAACACTTCAAAAGTTGAATGAATTGGGCTATGAAGTTTTGCCTCATCCGCCATATTCACCTGACCTCTT